TGAACCACCCAGAGTCCCCCATCAGGGGGAGATGGGCAGGGATACGTTTAATAAACAAATAAATAAATAAATATGAGGTTTTGACAATGAAAGATACAATATTTAAACTCTGTTTCAATATATATTACATGACGAGAATCATAGAATTGCAGAATTAGAAGTTCCCTCAGAGGTCATCTAGTCTAACGTCCATTTGATGCAGGATCTGCTAAGGCACATTGGACAGATAGCTACCAAGTGTCTGTCTGAGGACCTCCAGAGAAGGGCAATATAATGTTTCAAGAGGCAGCCTTACATTACACACACACACACACACACACACACACACACACACACACACTTATACATTAACATTTAATACATGTAAATGTCAAAAATATGCATCTGAAACTATTTTAAGATTATCTATATATGTACGTGTGTGTTAATTAACCAGAAAATCTTTCTGCCCCCATTATTTATAGCTAATCTAAAAAATATCCTATGATCGTAACATATATTAAAGCATTCCTCAGTACACAGTCCTACAACAGTTAGAGAAAATTCCAACTATATAATCAAACATTTTAAAAATTCTGGTAGGTCAAGCTTCCCTCATCTTTCATCTAGTGTTTATAAAAGTGACAGCACAATTATCAGATCATGCATATAACACACAAGAATAATTTCTAGGGAGGAAACTGGGAGGTTTCAAACTTTGCACCAAGAAATTCACTCTCCCACCTTGCTTCTTTTTCAGATCGTTTCAATTTAATTTTTCAGTTTAATTTTAAATCTACTTGCGCTTCATTCAGTGTTTTTTTGAGCTTCTGTATTTTTAAAATTACTGTGGAAGAATCTCCTGAGAGATTTTAATTCAGTGAGTTAATCCATATTATCCAGACCAACAATACTTTGAGAATTCTTGACCTACCTGAATATGTATGAAAATCTGAAAGGAAATCAATAGTCTCTTGAAGAACTAACTCCATATTTAATATTATCAAGAAATAACCAGTGTGGAAACTGTGGGGCAAATTAATGTCATGATACATGAGATATTATTTCCCCTCATTCATCATTTCCCTGTGTTTGTTATTATAATTTTTGTTTGTTTTTTTGCAAATTGTTCTCTGCCTGCCTTCTGGTTTTGATGTACCATATGTTCAAATTCTGTATTTAGAGAAACAAACCCATGGAGTGTTCTCATGAAAATATCAAATGCTGCTTGGAATTATAGACCCAAGAAAGCCTCAACCACTGCTATTTGCCTTTTCCATGAAATATTATTAGCTTTGAATCGCAGAAAGAAATAAAAGCCAAGGATACCATCTGGTGCCTTTTAAAAGTGACAAAATAGGAAAATAATAATACAGTCTTTGTGCAAAACACTCTTTTGCATTGGTTTAAGCTCAAGAATTTGGAGCAGTTAGTATGACCTTGTTGTCAAAGCACATTCACCACCTTTGCAGCTGTACATTTATGCTGATAGCGACTGATTCATTGGAAGCTAATTGTGTCATGAGGCACCGTGGAATTCCCAGCTTCACCAGGTACATGAAACATTCTCTCAGGTAGTACTTTCTCGTCTGTATCTATACACAAAACAAACATATTCCTTTGTTATTTGTTAGATTTATGTCCACCTTCTCAACTGTAGTATCCTTATTGTGACTTAGTGTGACTCCTTGCTCACTAGTTTTGTAAACTTTGTTTCACGCATCTGTTCACTTTTCACTCTGGGCAGCTGGGTCTTTGGTTGTTGTTGCTATTCTGCTTCTTTTTAATTTGTTGGAATTCAGGTAGTTTCACTTTTTTTTTTTACCCAGCTTTGGGATTATTTCATTAATAGTAACTACAGGTAGTCCACGCTTAACAACGGTAACTGGGACCGTTGCTGTTGTTGAGAAAGGATCGTCAGTTGCTAAGTGAGGACCTCCTTGCAACTTCCTGCTGGCTTCCAACGACCAAAGCCTGTGGGGAAGCTGGCAAGAAGTTGCAAGTCCCA